CGCGTCTTTTCAAATGTTGGTATTTTAAGCCAACAGCGCGTGTTGATTTTTACTTTACTTAGAGTTCTTTTTTGGAGGTTACGCTATGAAGCTCGCTAACACAGTACGACGAACGATCCAACTTAGAAACCATCACATTTCAGTGGATAATGTCCGGATTCCGTTGAATATTACCCATTATATCAGTACCGACACCTTTCAAAGGAATTCAGGAAAGGTTAGGTTTTGGGCTCCTGGAGACAAGAATATAAAACGCTGGTGTACTCTACAGTCTGAGTTATGCATCATTTCCTACCATACTAAACGCTCCCGCTGCCTGTGTGTTTGCTCACAAACAGCAGCATTTATCAACTTCATAGTTATTTTTCCACAACACTAAGGTTGCAATGACGAGGCTCTCCGGGCCTAAAAATATAAAATTTATGTATTTATCTCACCACACATAACATACTACTAATTCTTGTTGTCACACAATTGCTTACGCGCAGCTGTGATTACCAATTTTATATTTTTTTCTTTTTATGATAGCTCTAGTTTGTAATGAAAGGGCCCCTTGGGCCTTAAATATACATTTTATTATTATTATCTTTTGCCCTCACCGAATTATGCAGCGCACAATCTCGGTCTACTGGTGAATGCTACTTAGCCATTTCAAGGAAATAACAGTTCCGAAGAAGCCCCATTTTTATATTTTGCCCTTTAAGGGTGAAAATATGTTAAATATTATCAAGCGACGCCTTCGTTGTACCATTGAAAAGACAAATAATGCGGCTAAATTCACATTATGCAGTCCTACAAAGTCTCTACAAATTCCACACGTGAAGGATGCCTTGCCAGTTCATGCCAGTTCACGCCACTTGAAACTGTGTTTATGAATTTATAGGCACTTGCGGATGCAAGTACATAGGGCGAACGCAGCGGCAATTGATAGCTAGATCTACAGAGCACCTACCTAAACGGCTGTTAGAAAAAGCAGACAGAATCTGACGTTTATCTTTTACTAAAAATTAACTTGATAGGGACATACTCTGTACTGCAAAACATCCTTCCGTCTACTTATTCGGACATTTATTCCATTAAATTCTACAATCCTTGCATGCTTTAAATTTACACTGTAATAACTTTTCAAAACTGCCCAACGTAAAACTAAGCAACGTGAATAGTAAGCAGCTAAAATATTTATTAACTTGACGTTGGTTGATTTGGCATGTGTAGGAGACAAAGTGTATTCACCCAAATAACGAGCAAATGACTCAAAATTTAGGGTGTTGGACTTCAAATCTACAGTCCGCGGATTCGAGGCTCAGGGTTGCGCAACCTGGGGCTGGGTATGGCTGAGTAAGAGTAGCAGAGAAGTCAGAAATGGCCATTCACGTGTCGCCTGTCATTGTCAGTCATGTTATTTTACGTATATTCACGCCTTTTCTGGTGCGGAATCGTATTTGAAGCTCTCGTATACGTTTATTTGACACTGAGTAATCAGAATTCAAAAGACACAGTGAGGCGCGCAAAGGCAGGAAAGAGAAGTTGCAGTCATTAGAAGGTTAGTAGTAAACCAACCAGCAAAATTAATTAAATTGTACAGCTCCAAGTTCCCAGTTTCTTCGAGAAATAAACAGATATGAGGAAAATTGTACTAGGTTCCAATAAAAATTTTCGACAGGGCCTTACTGCAGCAAAAATGCAAACAGTCCCGTCAATTGATCCACGCGAGAAACGGAAGCCGCAATCGACATGGCTATCCCGAAGGCTTGCAGTGTAGTCCTGTTCATCTTACATGGCGGATTGTGCAGATGAGGTTGTAAAATAGGTGGGAAGGAATGATTTGATCTACAGTTTGGGAAAAATCAACTAGGGCCAGCACATTTGAGCATTGAGTCGATCAACCAGGCGCTGCCCGCCCGGTGCTGAAGCCTTGATTGAGTCCCACATAGCTGGTTCCATAAATTTGAACCACTGGCATTGAGGGGCTCTGGGTCCCTGTAAAAGGGCAGATGTGAGGCATGCACCGCTGTAGGCTGCCTCCGCGGAATTGGGAACAGTCTTTACAGATAAGATAGTATTCTTTGGCAGAAATTGCTGTATCTCAGATTGTAATCGTTGCTGGAGACCTGTAAACCAGAGCAGAAAGTAGGATGAACACAGTAATTCAGACCAATGACCTAAAATAAACATAAATGGCAGCCTTAAAAGTGACTCAGTTCAGTTTCTTGAGAGAAATAGGCATGCGCATTTTTTGTTATGTAGCCACAATTCGACAACGCTGCTCACGATTTCTTATGTTTTATAGCCCATACTGTTTGTGTTTCAGGGAGTACTGGATCAGATCGCCTTCATCAAGACAGATGTGGCACAGATGCGAACCATTTGAATATTGCCGCAATTTAGTTGGCGGTTATATGATTTAGTGAAATAATTTATGGTCAACATAATCGTATAAAATTGTAGGTAGCGTGGAAGCCCAGCCCAGTGTTTCGGCTTGATTACAGAAAAGGAAGCTGACCTTTCATGTTGACTAGGGCTTTCTGAGTAAAGTTCTAAGGTAAGGTCAACCAGCAACGAAAAATACATGATCGAACGGTTTACCACCATGAAAAGCAGGGTTGTGGATTGGTCATTCTAATTTATCATCCCAACTAGATTTCTCTAAGCCACATAGCGGGAATACCTCAGAATGTAAGAATTTAAGCAGAATCGATAACCAAACGAGTACCACGTCAACCTTAGCTAGACGGGACTTGTGAACTCAACAGTACTTACATTAAGTTAATATCCTCTTTCTAGTGGTAATATTTGAGAGTGCGTGTACATGTGCATATGAGGCACCGGAATATTAACAAAAGGGTTTTATAGGCACTGCCAATAACTCTCATCAAATAAACCGAATAAACAGAGGCTTCAAATCCTATAAAGCATGGGAAATCCTGTAATGCTTATTTCAGTTTTTTCTCATAAAAACATACAGCTGGAGGCAGTGGCACTTCAGTCTAGTCAGTGAAAGCCTGCATTCCAGCGATTAAACAGTTTTGGGGAACTAAAAATAAGGTTCTCAACAGGTTTTGACAACAGATCCTGACCGGTCTTGACAATCCTCTAACAACTTGCTTCTTCTCTTGTTTTTTTACCAGTTGACGACGAAAGGTCAATGTAGGTTAAGCCAGAGAAAAGTTTTGGAGGAACAATCCACAGTCCTGCATTTGGTACGTAACTAATGCATTGGCAGCACTGAGTACGTGTACTTTCCCTAAATTAAACCGGTGATTAGACTTTGAAAGGGTACTTATTTTACGGTAGATTGCCTATCTCGTGCAGTGTCAACCGAAATTCTGTAAACTGGAAGATTGAAAAAGAAGCCAGGACTTAGTGTTCAGAATGAACAAAACTGACCTTCAATGCCTGCGTATTCTCCAACAAGAAGGACATTAGCACAGAGAGCCTGGCGAGACTCGATTGAGCAGGCTTGTAAGCACTGACGCAGGAGTCTTGGCAAGGAGGGGGCATTTGGTTCGAAGTTCTTTGTCATGCAGGGTCTAAACATGCCTTCTGTACTGGATTTCCGCAGCTCTGCACTGATGTGAAAAGTTCTAAAACAATAGGGGTAAAATAATTTCAATTTTCGGCTTGCGATTAAAGTTAAGCATAGGCTGATAACCGGATAAAATATGGAAAACCAAGAACGAAATAAAATAAACGTAAAAAGGCTTCCATTTCGAGATAATATACTAGAGGTATGGACAGTTTATCCAGCATATATATATATATATTTATGGTAGTAGGGTGCTCACCGATCTACCTAATTAGGGAACGTACCTGTCACGTTGTAGCATCATACATATTTATATCTAACTTGACCCCCAAACGCTGCCGACGGGCTTGTTTGCCCTCATTCAGCCAATCATAACCTTGATCCCAGCTGGGACCGGAAACACAAAAAACAATAAGCCCAAACGCCGTCACCCCTCCCTGCTATTATAGGTTAGCCGACTTCGGTCTGGAAGGTAATTGCCTGTTCTTGACCCTACCCACCAATACGAAGTTTGTTTATTTCAGGAAACCAATTAAATTGATGTGCGCTGATTCCTGAGTGAACATATGTATGTGATGAAAAGCTAAGACGATCTCTGGTGAGGATGGTTTACTCATCGGCAGTTTCAACCTCATACTTGAGTGCAATATATGCATATGTTTCCGCAGTAGAACTACTAACCGAAAATGTTTTGCTTGGGTCGGTGATCGTCTAACAAGCGTCTTTTAGACCTTCCGAGTGCATTTTAGTAAGGACACAAACCAAGAAAATTGTACTCGAACTCACTTATTGGGCTCGCCACCAAACTCCGACATGTTAATATCGATGTCTTCGCATGGCATCAACTCATTGTCTACAAAGGCCGCCTGAAAAAAAGGAAAGGGGATTTAGAGCGATCAAAGTACTCCCTTTTAACAAATACAAAAAATAACGAGCTGGAACTACAAAAAACAGTTGTCTTTTTAAAATATTGAAAAATACAGCGAACAGGGTTTGAACAGGGCAGAAACCTTGAGCCCGAATTCTAAATATCGCTTACTGATGCCCTGATCGGGATGTTGAGAACGTGAGAAAAAATACCGAAGCCAATCACTTTGGGGTTACGAACGCGTTGTCATCCAATTTAGCGAGCTACTTGTCTTTGCCCTATATGCTGAGACGATAAATAACACAGCTGCCTTAGACCATCATGCACATATATATATCCCATCTGCATGATAATCAATGAACAACCTGTTTTACTCTGGAGTTCCGGGCAAAAAATTCTCAATGACGGGCACCTTGGCGAGGAATCAAATATCAAGGAGTGCTTTCTGCCGAAAACGAGACAGTCTTTGATGACTATTTCTAATTTATTTTTAGTCATCGACCAGCCATAGGCACCAACCCGAGACAACAAAATCGGATTTCAACCCGAGTGAGGCAGCCATCGAGCAGTCAAACGTTGCGTCGGGATAATCTGTTCTGTCCGAGGGAATAAGATTTCGCGTTCTTTCAATCCTACGGTA